TATGTCTCGCACACATCTGAAATGTAGCACTCCACGTCACATCAACACCCAACTCGTCAACGAGCACCGTACACTTTGCGCAGTAGCATTGCACTCGGTGAAGGTGAAATAGCCCACTTTAGGTCAAAATTGGTGGTTTAACGTCCCCGGTTGGGAGACAACAAAGAGGGAGAAGGGTGTGCAACCAGGATAAGCAACAACTTGACACAACTAGGCATTCGAGACCTGAATTGCTGCAACCTGTTGTGGAGAAGAGGGATGGAGAAGCCAAATATCACCATGTAGACGTCTGTACTACACGTTTCCCTGCACTCTAAGGTGGGAGACCTTGATTTTCAGCACAACTGTGACACCCCACAATTCCGATGAAATAATAGCGAACACTTCCATTATTCTGAGCATTTCAAATGGTGAGCAAATGAAAAAGACTTACCTCAAGCTGTTTAATCATCGACTCCATGGCCACATTATCCCGTTCCAAACAGGCCATTGCGATCTTATGCTGATTGAATTCCGTCAGCAACTCCAACTTGTCCACCGGCTTATCCTCGCTAGACTTCTGGAACGGGAAGCACAACTTTGCAACTGCGTATTATAAACGAATACAAAGATTATTTTTACTGAAGCATCAGGAAATGGAAAAGTGAGTGGGAAAGAATTAACTAAGCGGGCCATATACTCATGTGGAAGGTGGTTAGTGAACAACCTCACTTAAGACCCCCTGGATGTGTGTGATCAACTCAGATTGTTCGGCTACAACATCCGAGAGTCGTTTAACTTCGGCACGAAGATTTTCGATTTCATCGAAACTGGCCTCACGAGACTCCCTGGAGGTGGCATGCGTTTGACAAAGGTAACTTTGGCCGCGCGAATTCGGGGAAATATATACCTGAAACAGAAGAACCGCCCCAAAGAGCCCGTCAAATGAAACGCCGAACGTAACCCCGAGTAGGAAACATCTTCATGCTAAGGAGTAGTGCAATCGACTAGCTATTTTACTCGAAATTCGCTGGACGGAGTCAATAAAAGCCAGCTTGTAAAACCCAGTGCCTATTTGCAATTTGAAAAAAGGGAACAAGTCGTACCTGTGTCATGCTTTTGACGCCTATCAATACAAATTACTTGATTACGACACAACCTCAATGTCAACCTCTGAACGTATGAACTGCTTTAGAGCAAATACTTCCTGCAAAGGGTCAAACCAAGACAAACAAGTCGTCGCCTTGACTAGCTCACTAGATAGTCGGGATTCTACCAAAACTCATTGGAGCAGTAAGAATGAAGCAATCTGTGCATTTTTGGATGGTGGAACAACAAAGGTAAAATTATAGGGCAGCATAGTTTGGCGCTTAGAACTTACATGCTTTCACTGGGCAGCGCCATTAGGGGGACAATTACCAAAGACTACGCCTGCCCGCAATTACTGAATCGAGTGTATTTACTATGAAACGTAAAGATCCTGCTTGGGCTTCATCACCTCCTCATATAGGCTGGCAAATCGACTTACTGAAACAGTGTTGATAGACCTTCGGGGACCGTTTTCAGCAGCGACACATTCTTTGGAAGGAAACTTGAGGTAGCTTTTATGCATTAAAATTCATCCGAAATGCAAAGATAATGAGCCGCCACAGAATGCGAAAAGTGCCTCAAGGATAGCGCAAGAACCCTTCCTTTTCCCTCTTCACCTCCTGGAAGGACGTTACAGACGATTCTATCAATTAAAAGAGAGTGGTAGATAGGTAGAGTCATAAAAAGAATGAGTAGCCTGGCTACGACAACCACCTTTAAACACACTTTGTGAAACTGCCTAAGAGTTAATTTAAGGGAGTTGTGCCAATTCATGTGCAAATTTCCCCATCAAAGCTCGACATGTTAACGTTAATTGGATTCTAGCAAATAACTATACAAGTTTTTTATGTGTTCCTTTTGTCCTTTCCTGCAATTTGCTTTCACCTACGTGACTACCGTTTTACATTAAAAGCTTTGATGTGGAGTCGCCAAAGTAATGCTGTAAAGAAACGCAAACCAAATCGGACCGTGAACCCGTGCGTGAGCACCATGAGGATTTCCTCTCCGGGTGATACCTGCTACTCGGCTCATCTGGACTCCTATGTCCGTTCTTCCTGTAATCAACGCCTAAAACAATCTGCAAATTGTATCGTCACGAGAATTACCACAGGGTGGAAGAAGGCAGTAAGGAAAGCTGGATATATGTATTCTAAAGAGGACAGAACAATTGACTTGGGCATGGTCCGAAGACCAGCTTACGAGTACAAGGACCAGTCAAATCCTAGAGTGACCACCAAACTTCGCGTAGTCACATAAACCAAGCATTACACAACTAGCACTCTCCTGAAGTCCGTCATTTAGTGGCTTGAGGCTAGGTGGGCAGTTACTGCAGTACCATTTTTAATTGAAAAAATAGCTTAATGTATTAGGTAGGCAGTCGGTGCAAGAGAGACGATTTGCTGACATTTGGTTGTGGTCAGATGCAAGTAGTTGCAAAGCGTGCAGGAACTGTCCACCCAGCTTCATGCTAGTAAAGCACGGAATTCAGGAGAGTGTTAGTTGTGTAGTGCTTTGTTTAGGTGACAACCCGAGGTATGGCGTTCACTCTAGGATTTGTCTGTGTGGCGTCCGAGTCTTGCCATAGGGTGGAAGCAGGCATAAGTGAGGTTGAATGCATGTATTCCGAAGACGACAGGGCAAATGAGGTCTGAGTGT